ATATGTAGACAAATATTCGTGGCTTTGCCACAGGCCGAATTCAGCGGCGGCAAGCTCTCAATGGAGCGGCCTTCTTGCCCCGCAATCATGTCCCTTGACGGATGGGATGGATGGGCTGAACCAGACAGGGACGAAGTCTAGTTGCCCGTCCGAAAATCCAGAGGCGGTTACTGAGCATGCAGCAGACTTGGAGGCGCTCATTCCTATGGCCATCATGGGAACAAACACATTGAAATGGACTCAAGCATTGACCAAACACTAGGGAACTCCCCATTGCCTTGGAGGCAGAGGAGACTGAGACCTTGGTGGCTGGGACTTTGGCTCATCCTTGTTGGGCTTCATAGCTTCGTCAACCATTGGTGTGGTTGCGACTGGTGGCATTGCTGCCAAAGGATCCTCTCATTTGGTAAGCCTGGTGGCACTGGGGTACCGAAGAGAGGTGGTCTGGGATGGACCAAGCTGGGAATCTTTGGTGTCGTTCGACGTGGTGGACACTTGATCTCCAGCAAGGTTGATTGTTGCACCTGCCCTGGAAGCTGTCTGCTTGAAAGATCCTGCTTTGGGTGTGCACTTGCCTGCAAAGGGATCTCTCTTTGGAACAGCCTGGTGGCACTGGGAGTACCAAAGAGAGGTGGCTTCTAGAACCGCGTTGGTTGCCTTGTGTGTCGCTTGATGGGCAAACCGTGGGGCATCCAACATGGGTTGGTTGTCGTGGGTCTCAAAGGACGTGCGTCCTGCTGGAAGGCGCAGCTTGTGTTGATTACATGCGGATTCCTGGGATGGTGGAATCGTCCAGCTAAATCGTTGTTGCTGTGTGGCTACATACTGGCCTCCCCATAAGCAATGTAGAAGCTGGGGATTACTGGAGCTGAAGTAGGCGCTCTGTAATCTCCCCATCACCAGTGATGCATTGGGAGCACCAGAGAGCAAATGGTGCACTGGAGCAACCAAGGAGTGGCATTGGGCAGCTGTTGTTGGTCGCTGTGACTCGCAAGGACGAGTGGCTGGCGACCCCACAAGCTGGCTTGGAAGATGACTGGTGGTTGTTGTGGCACCGGCCAAAGGCTAGTGGCATGCAACTCCCCACAGTCTGGCTGGGAGCTAGATGCTGGGGTTCATCCTCAGGACTGCCATCGTGGAACTGTGGCACGGTGCACTTGTTGTTGGAAGCAAGAGGGCCTCTCCAGTCGCCGCTGTGTGGGTTTGACACTAGGGGCAGGCAACTCCCCACAATCGCGCTGTGGAGATGCGTGGTACCGGTTGTGCCTCCTGGGGCGGCTGCTTTCTGCCTGAGGGCAGCTGCTTTTCCGTTGATCTTTCTCGAGGTTTCGACTAAGGGACTTGTCAAGCAGCTGACGAATGCACCACTGTCGCTCTTCAATGGGTATCAAGGGTAGTGCCAAGGCTGGATAGAGGTGTGCTCTCATCCAGACTCTTCATATGGCCTGAACCGTATCCTCCGGGTTGTAGGGGAAGTGTGCTAGTTGTTCTTGGGCTACCTGTTTCCTTGGTTCTCTAGCTTCGGGCCTTCCGTGATGGTGGAGGAGTCACTGTGGGTATGTAGAGTGACATGGTTGTCTTTCTTTCTGCCAAGGAAGAAGTGTAGCTTGTACTTGGGAAACAGTGAAATTCAGCTGTTGTAGCAGAACAATAAACCTTGACTCAACTGTTTCTGGAAACCACAAGATGACTTCTTGGGACTTGCTAGGGGCCTTGGAAATTCAATCTAGGTGTATTGAATAAGTAGACCAGGTACAAGGGCTGGACCTGTTTCCTGTGTTCCGTGGTGCTGGGAATTGGCTTGGATTGTGAGACTTTGCCACTGGGAGCCAGTCAAACTTGGGTCCAATGAATCCCCACAAAAGCTTCCAAATCAAGGTGAGTACACTGACTAAACAAGGGGATGGCGGATTCACTGGTAACACTTTCAGCCAAGCGAATCGACCGCTTCGTTACCACGGAGCTCTTCGAGTTAGCTCTTGCACCGCGATCTCGTGTCTCGTGTCTCGTGCTTCGTGCCGAATTCAATGACTCGACGTTGTAAATCGGTTGAAATTGTGAGCACGCTTCCAGTTTACGAAAGCTGAGCCTGCTTTCGGTACGGGGAACAGTTGTCGTTTAAGTCTTCGAAGCTCCAGGAGCGCAAAAGAACTGTTAGACGTTCCGCGCGCTGACTCAGTGCACGTTGGATAAGTACAAAAAAAAATTCGCGTGACACTCGAATCCTGCACGGACGATTTGATTGGCTGCGCGGCTTTCGCAAAATGCGTTCTCCGATCTTGAATCGCTCAAAACTGCACAGGCGATTCTGATTGGCTGAGCCGCTTCCGTGAGAATCTTCCTCAATGTTCGGAGAATACCTGAAACATACAGGACGGAAACTCGTGACACTCGAAAACTGCACGGACGTTCAGGAGAGATAAGCCTCGAAGAGTCCGAATAAATCCTAATCTGTTCCGTGTCTGGCTGGAAGCCATAAGCCTGTGCGTCCAAGAGATATGCCTCGTACCCGAACAATAAGTCGCGCAATTCTCTGAAAGGAACTTCTTTGTAAACGTCTTGTTCGATTGCCAAGATAGGTGCGAAATCATAAGTCTCGTTCACTCGGACTCCAGGTGTTCCTTCACGGTACGACCGAACGTTTCTTTCGAGTGAATTGTGCTTTTTGTGTACGTTTGGTTGATATCCGCTGGTGTGTGTTGGGTTGAAAGTAGGTTTTCTTCAAGGCAATGGGTTCTTTTGGAGTTGTAGATTGGTGTGGGAAGTCAAAGGTTCCTGTCACTGTGGTGGGACTGGAACTATCAAAATCGATAAAAGGTTGTTGACTTAGGACTTCAAAATGGCCTTGAAACCACCTCAAAATGCCAATGAAATTCAATGAATTCAACTGTAGCTGTAGCACTGATTGTTGTATTCGAAGAGATCTTTTCTCGTCAAGGAGGTCTCTTCTTCCTTAAGAACTGCCTGCAAATCTATGCTGACTGTAATCCAATAAGTTTCTTGAAGGTTCAGTTCCAATACCCAAGTAGTGGACTGGTCTCGCTGAAACCCTTCCTCAGGGACAGCGGTACAGGCAGTTCAGGGAGCCTTGTCGTCCTCAGGAGTGTTCCAACACCTCCATTAGGCACCAAACCAAGGACTTGGTCCTGTCAGTCAACAGGAGGGCCAGCAGAGTCTCTGCTGGCCCTGGGCCCTTTGGGCCAGCTCTCCTCAGGAGCTGGGGACCTTCGTTATTCAATCGTGCAGTGGCAGTCTGGGAACAGTACTATCTGCCACCTCCTACTGCTTCTGCCCGGCCTCAACAGGATTGGTATCAACTGCTGCGGTATCAAAGGGGCTACAAGCTAATCAGGATCGGTCTCAATCTTTCGTACTATTTTCTTAACTATAGTAGAAAGGACGATCCTTTCTTGCTGCTTTGCTGGGAGATAAGCCAACTGCGCATGCTGGAGTTGTAGGCCAGCATAGCTGTTTGAGCGATCCCAGAGGAATCCAGAGCTCTCGCTCCTAAAAGTTATCGTCAGCTGGTAGGTGCACAAGAGCTGGGATGGAGAGCCCTGTTTGGTGGAGATCTCCTTCCACTGGCGCTGGAAAGGACAGCTCAAGGCTGGCAGCCAATGCTATTCAATCACTGTGGAAGCAATGATTGAACAGTCTAATTGCTCAATACCCTGGCACTGGCCATACAGGATCCTGTCTACTGCAGAGCTCTACTTGTGCTGTTGGGTCTGTTTCTCAGGTCAACTACTTCTTCATTACTTCTTTAAACTATAACATGAACACAAACTCTGATTTTGCGTGAAACTCCATTATCCAGCCATGCAGGATACAGATCCATGCATCTCTTTTGGCTGGTATTGACCAAGCTATCTTTCTAGATAGGTCATGGCTGAGGAACTGCATCATCCTTCCTTACAGAGGAACTCTATGTCCTCTACAGCTGTTCCTATCTTGTCTGATGGTGATACAGCTCATTGTACTGAAAGAGTGTACAGATGCAGCAGCGATCTTTCCATCAGACTGAGCCAGCACAGCTGCGCCGCACCCATATGGCTCCTATGGCATAATCTCATCGTGATGAATTGAGCATTCACTCTCTGGCTGAAACAGACGGCATTACTAATGCTAAAAATCCAACATGGGAATTGTAAGCAGTGAATGGTTAAGTCGGTTGAGCTCAATGTGAGGCCCTGGGTTCGATTCCCGGGCATTGCAATCTTTTCTCATGTTGGTCGGGGATTTCTGAGTGGTATGGCTCTTCTGGATTGGCTTCGGAGTGCGTTCAAAAGCTACGTCTCTAGTACAAAATCGCTAGACTCGCCAAAACAAGATATTCGAAAGACATAAGAGGCCATTCCTTGAAAAACCCAAGCTGTGAGGGCGATTTGAGTGTCGGATTCGAATGATTTGACTTGTGTGTACGTAGCTTGCTACGGTAAAAGTATTAGTTTTTACTAGGACCGTAGCTTTTGAACGCACTCCGAAGCCAATCCAGAAGAGCCATATATCTCAGGGAAATCTGATCATGGTGCAATACCCGTCAGAATGAACGGGCCCGGTAATTTGGTAAGTAGTATGTGATGAGATTGACCGCATTGCCTTGTGAGGAATGCTGGCATTGCAGGCGTTCCTGGTGTCATGTGGGTTGTGCTTGCGGGGCAACTCATGGGGAGATCAATAGTTCCTACTATGAGCCAGATTCGTGACGTCTGGGGAGTGATGAATTGAGCATTCACTCTCTGGCTGAAACAGACGGCATTACTAATGCTAAAAATCCAACATGGGAATTGTAAGCAGTGAATGGTTAAGTCGGTTGAGCTCAATGTGAGGCCCTGAGTTCGATTCCCGGGCATTGCAATCTTTTCTCATGTTGGTCGGGGATTTTTGAGTGGTATATCTCAGGGAAATCTGATCAGACACGTTCACACAAAACAGCCGAGCATGGCCAAGGTGACAACTCGACCCTCAAAACTTCCAATGCTGGTGTTCATTTTGCCGCCATGGATGGACCCTGTGCTTGGATTGCCCCAGTCCCACTCTGGTTTGCTCCCCATACATTCTGGGGAAGGATTATTGATCTTGCGGATAGTTTTTTGGTGCCTCTACTCCTTGGATTTGCATTATCTTGTGCTTTGTTCTCCATTACGTTGCAGCGCCCCATCAGCATTCCTGAAGCTCTCAATGCAAGTCAGTCTTTTGTGCAGCAACTTGCCCATCAAGGGCAGACTATGTTGACCAAGGGATGGACCATGTTCTGTGATCTTCACGTTGGTGCCTTGCCTGATCCGGAGGGCTTCCATGGTCCCTTCATGGAAACCAACATGGATACCTTCAAATGCAGCATCAATATCAACCACCCTGTTCCCAAACCTGGTTTGGACTTCACCATTCTTCACACTTGGCTACTTGTGGGATGTTTCATTACTCTGCTGTGCTTCTATTGGCTCTACTCTCCCGATCAGCCCAGCATTGATCCAATTGATGCACCTCCCCCTGAACCTCAGTCCCGCTGGATGCGCCGTCGCTATGCCCAAGCCTACCGCCGTTGGAAGCGTCGTGAGAATCGATCCAAGGGAGCAAGTATCCGTAATTATGGTTGCAATCAGAAATACCCCTCCATCTTCGATCATCTGGAACTTACTACAAGGAAGCACCCCCCTCTCCACTCAACGCATTCTCGGTGGTTTGCGCCGTTGGTTTCACAAGTCTCAGCATCGTCCCTCTGGTCATCGTCTTCGTCAAGCGTTTGTTCCTGCCCCTGTGCGTCCCAGGAAGGGAGAGAGTTGGCATCAGAAGAAACCAGGAGATCACCTGCGACAGCCCAAGCACAGACCCACGCAACCCATCAGAATGCCGCCCCATGTTGAGTTCTGTGGAAACATGTATGCAGTAAGGCCAAATTCTCGTCTCAGGCGTGCTAACAACGAACCTTTTGCAGCACCACAGCAACCAAGACAATCCGGACAGAAGCCTCGACAACCAAGGAACTCAAGAAGGAGGAACAAGATGAGACAACAGAAACCCAAATCAGAGTGCAAGCCAAAATTCAGCAGGAGCAAGACAGAACCCTTTCCCAGCTATTGCAAATTTCGGTACAACTTCCAAAAGCCCAAACCCCACAATGTTGGTCGAAAGGTACAACTCAATCATCCACCCTCAGGCTATTGTCAACCATGCACTGACTCGACAACATGTGGTCGCAGAGCTCGATGTGGTGGTTTGCAGCACTGTGGTTCATGTCAGGACAAGTTAAAAAACAAAGTCAGCAGCTTGCAGCAGGATGGTGACTGGGTGATGGCACGAAGATTGCAGGAACAATTGGAAAAGGCACTCAATTCTCACAGTCCTGCAACTTGTTTGCACCCAGATGGCGCTTCAAAATGCAGGTATCCGATGGATTGTTACTACTCTCAGAAGTGGAATCTTGCTGGCTTTCCTGCTAGTTCTCGACCTCGACCTCGTCGTGTTTCTGTCAAGGCGAGTCCCTATCGGAAGCTCATCGCACAAAACTTGGAGTTCAAGATTTGGAGAAATGGCCAGGCCAATGGAAAGTCCAAGGAATGGCGTCGACACATACTGGCAGGCAACAGCCAGGCCAAGTATGACTTTCTGATGGCCATTATGGAACACCCTCAAGAGGCTTTCAAGCGATGGAACCAAGAACGACGCAGCCAGTCTGCCAAAAGGAAGGCTGAAAGGGAGCGACAGTTGCATCAATGGCTCGATACATGGTCTATCCTCACAATGCCTTTCTCCCCACTCAAGAGGAATTGGAAGGATCACCACATCCGTCTGAGTGTTACACCAGCATTTATTCTGGAGCGATGCAATCTCTGAAAGCTGCCTTCATTGCCCCTCATCAGTTGCAAGGAGCATTATCCAAGGAAGCGGTGTTTCAAATTATTTGGGATTCCGGTGCAAGCCACTCCATTACCAACGATCCTCGAGACTTCTGCGGTAAAATGAAATCACCAGGACTCATTCGCACCCTCACAGGACTTGCCACAGGACTTCAGATCAAAGGAACTGGGACCGTGGCATGGACTGTTCTTGATGTACATGGCCACCCACGGACACTGCAGATTCCAGCATACTATTTGCCAGAGAGTCCAGTCAAACTGCTCAGCACAGCCCAATTGCTCCAGTGCTACCGTGGCGAGAAAATTGAGTTGGGTGATCGGTCCGCCACATTGTCTGGGATTGAAGGTGATGCTGCTCGTTGTCCTGTTACTGCCGTTGTGGATCCATCCAACAATATCCCAACCTGCACCGGATATCACATTGAAGCAGCTGAAGAGGCTGCCACAGCCCTACATGGAATGGTGACTACTGTTGATCCTCGAAATCTCAATCTGAGTGAGGCCGAGAAGGAGCTTCTTCGCTGGCACTTTCGATTGGGACACTTGGACTTTCGGAAGATTCAGTTTCTGCTGCGCTCAGGTGCTCTTAGTCAAACTCCTACCAAGAGAAACCTTCACACCAGAGCTGCCAAGATTCAAACACCCCCTCCATGTGCTGCTTGCCAATTTGGTAAACAAACTGTCTGTCCAGTAAAGACTCCAAAAACTACCGCAGCTGTCCAAGATCGCCCCGCTCCGCTGAAGCATGGCAAGCTGTTCCCTGCCCAAATGGGATATGTTGATCACTTTGTCTGTTCCACCAAGGGAGTCAAGTTGGGAAGTCGCGGTGGTGCAAACTCGAAAGCCTACACTGGAGGATGCATTATGGTTGATGCCTGCAGTGGTCGCGACGGGATACAGCTTACAATTCAGCTTTACAGCTTTATAAATTGCGGGCCTATTCTAGAAAATAATCAATAACTGCTCACTTATTTGGAAATACAAACTTTACATCTCTTAGATCGTTAGATTAATCAATCCACAATGGTATTGTCGCATGGTAGCATGCGAGGTTATGAGATGTTACTCATTCTTATTCTTATATGTCTATCCCTTATGGTTGTCAATGGAACGAGCTATCCCTTGGTGCAGAGTCCTGAGTTTCCTCTCATTATCTTCATCGGTAGTCCTTCCCCTTATTGCAACTTAATCTGTCGATTGGATCCATATGATCCCTTTGTCGATACCTTGGATTCGCTCGCAAGCAATCCCCTTTTTGTTGATTCGCTCGTAAGCAATCCACTTGTTCCCCTTGTTCTTTATCCTGTTGTCGATCGAAATCGCGATGAGGATCCTATTATCTTGACGACTCGGCTTGTGTGTCATGCATTGAGTCATGCTTCCGGAGCCACTTTACCCCCTATTATTGGCCGTTCCTCCGGTTGCTGGCTTGCTGTTGCAGTCGGTCGTTTGAACTGGCTTGCAGTTGGTCGTTTGAAAGATAACAACGCGCTGTCGCTGTTAAATTTAAATTTGAATTTGCCAAACAATTCGAGGTGGGCCTCAACCTCGACGTCAGATCCAACTGCTCATAAATTCCATCTTCGATTGACTCGATTGACTGGATATCCACCGCTCTCCTCCTCCTGTTGCCATTGCTCTTGTTGCCATTGCCGCACTGTTGACCTTGTTGATTTTCACTGCCTCCTATTCCATCAGCTATTAATGGACCTTGACGACGCTTCCTTATCTTCAGCATCCTCTTCATCATCAACTCCTTCAACAGTACCAGCGCCATCCTTGTTCAGTCCACAGGGATTCAGACAAGCCTTCTTTGAATCTGATCCAGTCATCCCACCATCTGATCCTCCAACCATGACTACAGCACCCTTGACCACAGCTCAATTCCAGGAGCTCCTCCAACACATTGGGAAATCCAAGGAAAAGACCAAGCTTACAGAAGTCCCTCGGCTTGGAGGTATCAACCACACTGGAGCCTGGACAGGATCTGGCTCAGATGGACTGGGAAAGGAACCTCAAAGCACCCTATGCCTCAGGGGTTTCCATGGTGACGACCATCTGAAACATCACACCACACTCCAACCTATCGAATTGGCATGCAAGAAAGGACTGAAGGATTCCCCCAGTCTACTATTCTCCACTCTAACTGAGTCCAATGCTTCTGGGTCTCATGTGCTAGCCTCTCTTATCGCCTTTGAAAGTATGATGACTGAGCATGGAATGGAAGGGATCTTTGAGCTTGTTGTTGGTGACCTTAATACTAACACCATAAACAAAATTAATATGTTCACCTCTCCTGGGCAGGTCTCAGAATCTATGATGGACAAATGGCATCAGGATCTCACAGTAAATGGGGTTGGATTCATCGATGCTGGGACTCTGAAGCCACACTCTGTCTGCCAGTATGATCTAACCAACCTTGCCTGGTCGGGAAAGGCTGTCTTGAACTCTTGCACTGATGCCCTCCAGGAGGAATTGAAATCATATGTCCCTCGAGCCAAGCACAATGGGCCCCAGCTTCTCTTGGCTCTTCTGCAGAAAATATACAGACCTTCTCTCAGCAAGATTGAGACCCTCAAAGCCAAGCTTCTTCACTTGGACATCACCAAGTTCCCTGGTGAAAATGTTTCCATGTATGTTGTCGATGCAAGCAAGATCATCAAAGAGATTCGATTGAACTTTATGTCCAGTGATCCCATGCCTGAACTAACCAGCACATCCCTAAGAGGTCTTCTTGGATGTGGGTGTCCATATTTTCGATCCAAAGTCCATGAGCTCGTTGTCAAGAGTGACATCAACGGATTTGATAGCAACTATGGGAACAAACAATTGGAAGTCCCTTTCCTCCTCGGCTTTGCACCAGAATCCCAACTTGTCACGACGGACCTCGCAATCCTGAAGAAACCGGGATGCTATGAAGCTGAAAAGATGAGGTTCATCTTTCTGCTTGACTTTAATATGAATTGCAAGAGACTGGGGCGCATCATATGCAGCAGGCTGACAAGTTGAGGGTGATATCAGAAGAACAATACGGGAACCGCAAAGGCAGACACTGCATTGATCATGGCCTAACCATGTGCTCCTCGTCGACATCTCCAGGATGAAAATGGCGGTGGCACTTATACCGTTACGATGCATCCAATGCTATGATCGCATCAACCACTGCCAGCAATCCTTGCTGGCGGGCCATTGGAATCCCACAGACTACAACAAAGTACAATTTGGCACCTACCAAAAACCACCCACCACGCTTCCACAGCCTATGGCATCTCCAAGCAAACCTACGGAGGCCCCAGCGAGCAGCCCTTTGCCAGAAGCCACTTGGAGGACAGAGGACAGGGTACAGGTGATGCTGAAGTTGGGCAGTGCTGATCTTTGACTTTATGGTCAACATCATCGCACCCTCGGCTCTCGTTGGCCCTTACCAGCCCCTTCAACAGGCAGCGACTCTCTGATAGCACTGATATTCATTGAGATTACCTCGCCAACATCGGCGCACCCCACCAGTATATGACTGCGAGGAACTCCTACCCAGGCCCAACAGGCAGCAGACATTGGGAAGGACTCTTATGGTCAACTGGGGGAGCCATCAATCAGGGCAAATCCTACTGGTACCTCCTCGATTACAAGTGGAACCCAGCAGCCGCAAGTGGTTCTACCGTCCCATAGGGGGCATGCCAGGCGACCTCATGGTGAGAGACACTGACGGTGTGCGCAAACCCTTGCCCAGAAAGGAACCAGGTGAAGCAGAGAAGTGGCTGGGCTTCCTCCCAGCCCCCAATGGCTCCTCCAACCACAGATAGCATACCTGATGAGAAGGTGAAGGCATTCTGCAACAAGATTCGCGGTTGTGGTCAAGCAGAAAAGAATGATGTCTGGATCACCACCACCACCACCATCATGAAAACCTGGACTACCGATGAGGGCCATCGATTGACACACTCTGAGTGGACAAGAGATGACCCCACTTTGGCCACAGTCTCCCCCGCGCAGGCTTCCCCACCAACTTCCCAAGAAGGTTTGTACGGCCCCGCCGAGTTCCAAGGCATGGGCATCATTGACCTTGGCTGAGGCAAAGCTAGAACACATCAGCACTACTGGGACAAACTCACCGATTGACACCCAGGCCAGATCATGGAGATAGCCATGAGCAATTCAGACTGAACTGGCAGTGACAAACCCATCACTGCGCTCCCTTACAAGAGTGGGGGGCATGCACGACCCCATGTTGATCAAAACAATGTGGGAACCTGTACAAACTTGGGCCTCTCGCATCGATCGAAGATGCACTGCTCAAGCCCCAAATGTCACGACAGAACGACCGATTCATATGGATGCCTTGCAGAAACAGGATACAAAGGGACATGCTAGGCAACTCAATGTGGCCAGAATGTACCTCAATGTCATTACACTCAGGACATTGCGGACGCAGGTGGACAACACCTCACGACTGGAGAGCTTCCAAAGGTGAGAATTGAACCACACTTGCACAGCTTGGAATGGCGCGCCACCTCCATCTTTGCTTTAGCAGTTGAGACCAACTGGAAAATAGCCGTGGAAACTTGCTTCCTAGAGGGTGACACTGGGACAAAACCCCAACAGGAGATTGAAACCACACCTCATCTGACACTTGATACAAGACCCCCATACCTGCCCTGGATGTACAACCCGTGTCTCACACCTTGTACCACAGGGAAGGACTCTGTGGCATAATACACCGAAATTGGAACCGGAACTCGATGAGCGGTTCGAAGGTCGACCGTTGAAGAAACTGGGAGGCTAGGATGGACTGATGCTTGCCCTACAAGTGACCCCATTGTACCGATCCCACTTGGCCACACCAGACCAACAAACTCTGTGAGTACCAGACTGTTTCCGTTTCAACGCCGAATCAACCGCAGCCGCCCCAAACCACCCTGACGAGGTACCTTCCAGTGGTCCTTTCCCTCCACCATCCCACACTGCACCACCTGATGATATAGGATGACGAATGAACTCCCCGCACAGGCAAATGCCCACCCTACTACTCAACACGCTCTAGTGATCGACAACTCCCCAGCAGGAACAAGTGGGCATTCCAGCACCCCCCCTCGCCAGAGGACGCGGTATATGAAGGTGGCAATGGCATATCCTTACAGGCAAGGCAGTGGCAGTCAGTGACGGTCATAAAGAACGATTCCGGCACAGTCTGCATTCGTGCTGAAGGCCACGATGCAGAAGGAAGGATCAACGGCGAACTGTGTTTCCCAGGCTCCCCAAAAGACCACTCATCCCTTCGAAGTGAACTGGCGGACTGGTGGCAGTGATCTGATGGTCCGCACTTTGTCCATCGCTTCGACCTCTCCAGTGGAAAGATCATCATAGGCTGTGACGGGCAAGCAGCACTGAAAGCACTGGAATCATCTTTGAGCCAACCAGCAACAAAAGGGACTATGACCTGCGCGTGGAAGGCAGAGCAGTCCTGAAGCAACTACGGAAGCGCAAAGTGCAAGTTCTGTACCGTTGGGTGAAAGGGCACAGGATGACGACAAGAGACCCACCCGGCGACTCCGACCGGAGCTGCTGCGTGGAAACGACCTCCACCATGGCTGTCTAGACCAATGGGCTATTCTGAATATAGAGATGGACACCAGGGCAAAAGCACACTGGGACCTGCACCAGTTCACCCCTTTCCCCAACATCCCATTCACCCACGAACGCGTGACAATCAAGTTCAAGGGCGCGAAACTCGCGCGATTCCACCTGAGAGAAGTTCACACACTCCTGGGAGAAGCTTCCATCAAAGCCCACTGGAAACAACGTGAAGAACGGGTTCGCGATGTGCACTACTCCACCGAAGCATGGAACGACAAGTGGCAATGCACCAACTGGACTGCCCACGGCCGGGCATTCAGAAGCAGCCCCCTTTTCACACAACGTTGGGTAACCAAACACGCCTCAGGACACTGCGGGGTCGGACGTATGCAACTTTGAAGAAAGTGGCAAGACCACAGCAACTGTCCGCGATGCGGCCTCGAAGATGAAGACACTCTCCATGTGCTCCTCTGTGACTCCACCACTGCTACAGCGGAATGGAAGAAACAAATGACGGAGCTGAACAAGTGGATGAAGAAGAGGCACACCCACCCCAGACTCCGAACACAGATTCTCCTCCACCTCAACCGGTGGCACCAAGGCGACACCACTCCACCCAACACCACCCGATTGCCGACCTCCATCCGCCAAGCCATCGCCGACCAAACCAACCTTGGCTGGTGGAACTTGTTACTTGGCAGGGTCTCCCAATCCTTCCAACACATCCAAACACACCACCTGCAACGACTCAAGAAGAATGGAGATGGCCTGGCTTGGACCAGCGCCTTCATCAAACAGATCTGGAGCCTACACTTCAGCCTTTGGACCAACCGAAATGAATCCGTCCATGGCACTACCCTAACTCCCACCCAACTAGTCCAACTGGACACTCTACGCGAACGGGTTCGACAACAGTACACCCAAGGCACCATAGGCCTACTCCCCGTCGACCACTGGAGAGTCCACCCGGACACCAAAACCCACACCCTTACATTCACTATCGACAAGACAAAACGATGGCTTGAATCTACCACCCTGGCCCGAACAGAGTTCCAGAAGCAACTTGCTCCAGCGAATCGACAGCTCCAAAGGCAACAGCAACTGATGATCACACATTTTAGTCTTAATCCGGATTAGGCCACTGCGCCCCCGGTCACTCCACGAGGAGGCATTCACTGTGGTAGCGGAGAAAAAAGGACCTGTCCCCTCTCGTTGGGGACGGAGGTGAAAGACGAACGTAGACTAGTTAGCTAGTTACAATCGTGCTTATATGAGGTACATCCTCTTGTTTCAATGAAACTGAATGCTATTCCCCTCGTGTCGTGCGACCACCCACATAAACGACTCAGTTGCTTGGGCCCTCGGGCTCGATTCGTACCAGCGTTGACAAAGGTCCTCCGGACCAGATAGGTAGTCTGCCTAAAACTAGTACTTTTTATATATATACGATTGAACTTTATGTCCAGTGATCGCATGCCTGAACTAACCAGCACATCCCTGAGAGGTCTTCTTGGATGTGGGTGTCCATATTTTCGATCCAAAGTCCGTGAGCTCGTTGTCAAGAGCGACATCAACGGCTTTGATAGCAACTATGGGAACAAACAATTGGAAGCACTCGATACTTTGAATGACTTGGATGCCCTCTATCGGGTCCTCATCAACCAGAAAACATATGAGCCTGCCCAACACATTGGATCCAAGACCTCCCAGGCCAAAGCCTTCCAGGCAGCAATCGACAAAGCTGTCGAGGCCAAGGTTGGTAGTCTCACCCAGGATAGAACCAGTGGCTCCGCCAGCAGTGGTACCCGTCCTAGTGGAGGCGCCTGCTTTGACTGTGGGGCTACCGGTCACCACAGAAACGATCCATCATGTCCTAAGCGAGGTGCTCCAAAGGATAATGGCCTGAGTGCTGAAACCAACTCCAAGCTCTCTGGTCTCATCAAAGACAAGCTTGCTTCTATGCCTCCAAGGGAGAACATTCCCGATGATGCCCAACACACCATTTCTGTGGACGGCAAGGTGGTTGCCAAATACTGTCGCAACTGTGGGAGGTTCTCCAAAGGAACCAGTGCCCACTTCACCAGTGAACATCGTGGATTCCGCAAGTTTCCATACAAGGCACCCTCCTCGACTGGGAGTGCCACTCCTGCTCCAGCTCCAGCTCCGGCTTCAACTCCATTCAATGCTGGTGGCAACCTGGCTTCTTCAACCATGGGGCTACCTTTACAGTCTGCGGACATCCCTGTTATGGACACTGATGAATTTATCCACACCAGTCCCAATGTCGGATATGATTTTGATTCTATGCAAGTAAACATGGCTGCGGTCGATCTCAGTTCCGACGAGACCTCAGCTCTCATGAGCTACCTCACTGGGGCCTTCATGTGATGTTCTGGTAGAGTTACACACTTGGCAACCGTGTTCCTCATTGCCTATTTTATTGCCCCACTCATGCCCCTCTACCCAGGTCTATTCCTTCTCATGTATTGGAGGGAGAAGATGAGTCTGCTATGCAGACATGGATCAAATACACTTCGAATTCCAGACCTTACTCTTGGAGGGAGCAATCTATGTACAGCCCCCACACTGAAGGGGCTGATCCCATCTCCTTTCCTGCTGTATCATCATTGGACTATGTCTCTGGCTGGGGCTTTGTGTTTGTCTCTCTTTGGTTTTACAACTTGCTTCTGAAGTTCAAAGGTTATACCATTCTTCAGTGGCTCTATCGCATCACCAATGACCCAGACATGCTTCAAGTTATGCACGGTGTCCACCACACGCATTGTGAACAACGAGGGTGTAGGTTTGTTAAACGGGCCGTACTGGATCATTGAGCATGCCTTTAACGGATTTGTAAGTACTGTTTCATGGGGAACCAGAAGCTTCGGTGCATAATCCGCAACCTCCCTTCACAATTTGTATCGTAGGGTCCACCTTCGACTTTAATCGATAACCTACCTTGTAGATTGGTATCCTACCTTCAGGTGCGCTTCTCAGATGTGGTGTTGGGGTTGAAACCAGCAATTTGGGCTTCCATATGTGGGCAGCAGCTGGAGTAAGTCCAGATACTCGGTCGATGGCAGTGCATAGTAGGGAGCTTGACTCAGTGTAGGACTTGAGCTTTGGATCCATGTTCAGTCGATGCTTCCATTGTACCCGATCAGCTGAAGGTCGAGCGGCACGAGATGGATTGCGCCGGGCTGGAACAGTTGAAGTTGCTTGCATGTGTCTGGAGGGGCCGGCTTGGGTGGCACCGGTGAAGGGGCAGGGTACTCAGTTGGTTGAGCTCTGGTCCAACTTGGAGATAGGGGAGCTGGAGAGCGAATGGGAGATGGGGACTCCCTTGGAGACACATCTGGTGGCTCCCTTGGAGCTGCATTTCAGGTGGTTGATAGGAAAATCATCCCTGGATTCACGGGAAGTAACATCTGCCAATTCTTCTCCCTTGTTGCAAGGACGGGACTGTTTCCGGTCTGCTTGAGTTCAATCTCATCAGGGGAGAGCCACTCATCTTGGAGTGGAGGCGGAGATTCATCAAAATGGGTCTCAAACCTCTCAAACATGCAGAGATCATTCCATTGAGGAGGGGGTGACTCCTCAGGAGAAAACACTGTCTCAAACCAGTCATCAAAAACAACATGAAACTGGGGTGAGAGGTAACCAGTGCGGAGATTCTTCACAACTGCCACATTTTCAGCATGGACTGGAGATACTCCCATGTACTGTCCTCTTCTGGACCTTGGTTGCCACTTGGGAATCTTGCCACCTGCATCAGTAAGCCTGGGTTCCAAAACATAGACTGGGCAACCCCATGGATGGGACAAACGAAGGGCTTGGCAATCCGATGTGGTACGGGAAAGAATCTCAATAGGGGCAACTCACTTGCTTCATTGGGAGTGTGGTTGTGCAAATAGGCAGCATGCCGGAGTGCCATGGGCCAAAGAGTGGCGTCATCTGCTTCAGGCCAATGGAGAGACGCATGGATCATCATTGTTCGTGCCTTTGACACAAGGATTCGAATGGCTCCCTCGGAGACACCATTCTGCCATTTTGCACCCACTCCACTGTAACGAATCTCGACTGAGAGTTCTCCATAATTTCATTGACAAATCGGCTACTCTTAAAAATGCCATTGTCAGTATGGTAAGAGTCAACCTCCACACCATGTTCTCGAAAGAATCTTTCGAAGCTGTCCTTAGCATGATGGTGTCTGAGGCGTTGAGGGTTACCTGACATTCAACATGAAGGACACCAGATGCAGCATCACAAAAGATTGTAGCTCCACAGTACTTGTCTTTGTCGGGCTCTCTTCCAGCCGTATGGCACAGCCTCCCTCGGAGGCGTGACTCCCTCGGAGGTGTGACTCCAATTGATTACAATACACTCAATCACCGGGCTTGAGTTGTCCTTCCTTGAGGACTCCAACTTTCGCTCGTTTCTTCCTTGTGATGGTGCTACCGTCAGGCCTTCTGTTTGCTTCCCAAACTGACATGATGAACATAAGGAGCAGTAGGTACCTTGGAATGGCTTAGACCGAGGGCAACATTGTCTAGGAATCCTCCAAGAGCAAGCTTTCTGACATGTGAAAAGGCAATATGTCCCAGCCTGGTGTGCCACTTGAGCCAGTGCTTCTTCATAGTTGGCATGTTTCGGTTCCCTGAGTGGATAGCAGAAGTCATTGCTTCCAATGGTGGAACAGCCTTGCCTTTTGGAAAGAGAGTGATACGAGGTAAGAAACTAGAGTCGTATCCCATGGTCAATGTTTTGGTACCTTGAGTCCACCATTCAGAGTGAGACCGATAAACTCTGAAGTGGTCTTCAATAGTGTCACACTTTTAATCAGCAGATTGATGGTCCAAAAAGGTCTGGGGGCTGACCAGAGACGATGGGGTAAGTCTTCATGGATGAGCACCTTAGCTGGAAACGGAACAACATTGACATTGTCGTCAAGAGTTTCCAATGTAGCATTGCCCACATATTCAACCATGAGACTTCCCACAATTCCACCCAGGCAATTTGGTTCAGCTAGCTTTCTGACAGATCCTGCCTCCACATCATCAAAGCTGTTGGTAGCTGAGAAAGAAAATCCAGTGTCAATGATAGCACGGAAAGCACTGGGTGTCGCCTTAGTAACAAGTCCAAACTGCTGCTTAGTGTCTCCCAAAAGCATATTAAAAGAAAGACGGTCATTGTCATTCAACGTCGAAGTGCGCCTTTATGGCTCCTAAGGCGTTTCAGAGCTTCTCAAAAGCCAAGTCCTGGGACAGGGCAATGGGCTGTGAGTGACACACTGACGAGCTGAGGAGTCCATCATCAAATAGTCTTTGCTTGGAGAAAGGAACATGGTGAGCCTGTGCACGTCGTTGGGAACCTTTCCATAGTTCAGGAGGCGGAAGACTGGAATAGGTATTGCCAAAGTGAGGGTGTCAAAGTAGGGAATGACAGTCTTGGTGCAGGCGAAGCGCCCACGATACCAAACACAAGCCAGAAAGAGCTAGCACCAATTGTAGAACCAGTGATGTAGGTAACACAGCTTGAGTGAAAGAGAAAACCAATGGATGGGGATATACAAACGAGCTGAGACTTGGGACAAATGGAGTCCAAAATGTTGAGGACCACTGAGTGAATCTCCATAGTAGGGATGGCAGAGCTGGCTTTTCCTGAGAGGAAAACATGGTATGTTCAGGTCCATGAATATCTCCCTCCATAGCATGTGTTGGTTGAAGGGAAAGCCGTAATATCACTGACATGGTGCAAGTAAACGACAATCAGTAGGCCATATGCAAATAGGCCTACCTGCCGTATCCTTTTAAAAGCAGAGACAGGAAGGAAAACTCGTCGTCTTCCTCCAAAGCTTCAGCCAAGTGATGGTCGACAACTGGGATACTGCCCATATCATAGTTGACTTCATCCCGTTGCATGAACTCCTGTGGATCAATAACTGGAGCATCAGCAAATCGAACAGCACCACAAAGATTTCCTCCAGCAGTGACCCATGTGTCCACTGGGGGTGGTGGTACAACAGCAGCAGGGAGTGATTCAGCACCACTAGCGGGAACATATGCAACTCGATTAGCTCCCTTGTGCTCACTCGTATAGTGGACACTGGCTCCCTTGGAGAAGCGACATCAGTGACGACAGAACTTGGCCAGGGTCTTGCCTTCAATGACGACAGAGTACTGGGCATCGTCCGGAATGTTGGCATGGAGCTGAGGCATTGTCTTGTATACTTCCTTGCACTGGACATTCACTTTTGCAATAGTGGCCTCATCCAGTCCATGTTTGGCAATGCCACGACCAGTGGAACTGTTACTGCCGCTAGATCCAGAGCTGCTGCCAGACTTGGGGCAATCACGTTGCATGTGGTCACCTCCACATGTCCAACACTTGATACTGCTGCTCCCACTGCCACCACGGCTGCCGCCACCTGCAGACCTGTCCTGAGTAAGTGTGGTCTTCAATTCTTTAGCCACCATGGCAGCCATTTGGGTTAGCATAGCTTTGTGCTTGGTATCAGAAGAAATCTGCTGGGCAGGTGCATAGTCACTTTGAGAGACCAGCACGATGTAAAGGTCTTCACCTTTGCGAAGAGCAGCGATGGGACCCATCACTTGTTTGTTAGTCGAATCAAATCCACTGACATCATTGGCAAGACAAAGCTCTCTCATACTTTGGAGAAGCAATGGGTCGCTTGCCGTGGTAAGACCCTTGAGCGCCGAAGTTGTCAAGTCAGGGACTGTTGCATTTGGCATATGGTTCATCTGAATTTCCCGGACGATAGCAGATGCATCGTGGACAAAGTGAGAGACATTTTCCCCAGGGTAATCTGTCAACTTGAGTGCCTCTAGCTTGTTGACAAGACTCTTGATCTTGGAGCTGGATGGGCGGTAAATCTTCTTCAGAATGGTAAATAGGACATGGGAACCAGTTCGATCAGCGAGCTTTGGGATGACTTGCTTAAGGTCCTGCATGAGTGTTGGCGAACAAGAGTTGAGCACGGCTTCACCCGACCAATGCAGGTTCAGGGCATCATATGAGCACTGAGCAAAACGATCGACAGCACCGTTGGCCATGACAGGACGCCCTGATCATCACTTTGATAACTCCATTGACCGTTAGATCCTCATGCCAGGTTCGCTCAATGTCGCTGGAAACCATACCAGGTGGAGAAGCATGTCCAACTGAGTGCCATCGGTCTGAATGATTCTAAGACGCTTTCCATCCCAACTGAGATCATGAACTCGCTTAGAGCAATAAGCGATGGCACTGCCTTATCGCGTTTGGTTCGCCAGGGAGATTAAACAGAAGGTCGGGTGAGCCACTCAGTCCCTCTTTGCACTTCAGTTCGATGGGAGAGAGA